CGGACCCAGCGTCCAAGCCCCGCACCCGCCCCAGGGCCTCCAGCCTCGCCGGCCTCCGTTTCCCCACTCGTCCTCGGGCGAGCCGCGGCTGCCCGGCCTCCGACCGGCGGGAACCCGAGGGACGGGCCCGCGGCGCCCGCACCCACCTGGCTGACGCCTCAGCGCCATCACCGACACTAGGTAGTGGGCGATGTCAAAAAAGGGGAACATGGAAGTGTGGGAGAAGGCCAGGGTCAGCTCATCCCACGGAGAGTCCATGACGACGCCAGACCTCGGCGGCCCGAGCAGCCCAGGCGACGGGGCCCCGCAGCTCCGGGACGCCGCGGCAGGAGCTCCGCGCATGCGCCCTGGCGCCCGGAGGCGCGGCGAGGGGCGGGGCCGCCCCGCCCCTCGAGCTGCGAACGCGCGGCGGTTGGCAAGTGGGCGGGGCGTGGGCGGGGCCTTGGCTCTTCTATTAAGGGTCGCGCAGCTTTTCCTTTTCCGGCCTGGCCCTCACTGGAGTGAAAACAAGATCCTCAAGTCAGGCCATTCTGCAACCAATACAGTCACAGTATGGTTCACACTGGCCTATCGAAAATATATTTTAAAAATAAGATGGCATCCCATCTTCATAAATGTTTTCCCCGGATTTATTATTTTTAAGGACACAAAGCCTTAGAAGTAGGGGTGCCCTGTAAAGGCAGTTGGGTTTCAGACAAATGGGTGAGGTAACAAAACTTTTGGACTATAAATGGTAGGGAAGATGAAGATATTTTAACTAGATTATAAAATGAGAAATGAGGTTGGAAAAATAGGTTGTTAAATCCTTGAATGGCAGGTAATAAAGCCAGGGAGTTTGTCTCCAGTACATTTTCATCTTGTACAAGTTGAACTTGTAAGGTTTATCAGAAGCATAGTATGTGCTAAACTGAAACCAGCATCAGGGAAGAAATAGAGGGGACCGTGGAGGTACACTCAAGAAGCAAATTTAGGAAGCGATTGGTCAAAAGATGACAGAAACAGGAAGTCTGCCTGTATTTTCTGGTCCAAGTAAATGTTTATGGAGACTAAGGGTTGGGGGAACTAAGGCCCAAGTAGAGAAAGAGGCTCTAAAAATAGAACAGAACTTAGGTAGAAAGATCACAGTTCTAACCTAGCTAGGGCAAAAATCAAGAAACTGAAAGAAACATACACACACACACACACACAAAGGGCAAGAGGCATGCCTCAATTGGTAGAATGACTACCTAACAAGCACAAGGCTCTGAGTTCAAACCTCAGTACTTCCAGAGAGAGAGGAGAGAAAAGAATGGAGAACAAACTAGGAAACAAAGAAGAGGATAATTTTAAGTTTGGATAAGAACAAAAAGTTTGAGTTTGTCATATTTCTATGTGACATGTGAATGGATTGTGCCAGTACCAGCAAGTTGAAAGACACAGAGATATGTAGCTAGGTAGGTAAAACTGGCTGTGATCTGTAAGGAGGGTAAGGTCTGAGCCTCTTCATGTGTTTTATCTGAATATTTTCACTTTTGATTCATTTAGCGTGTGTTTTTTGCATTCTTGCTGTATACTCAGCATTTGACTGGATACCAGGGGATACTTCCCTAAACTCAAAAAACTTGATACAGTTTCAACACAAAGCATCCCCACAGTGTTGAATGCTAGGACCCAGTGGTGAGTCCTATTTTGGGAGATTCTGGAAACTTTTGGGAAGTGGCAAGGCTAGCTGCAAGAATTAGGTCACAGGAGCCAGGTCCTTGGGGATAACTTGTTCCTGGCCCCCTCTTGGTGCTGGTTTTGCTGGGGGAAGAGGACTGCCAATGCTGTGATGTTTTGCCCAAGAACATGGGGCCAGGAAATCATGGACTGAATTCTCCAAGACAAAGTAAATCTTTCCCCTTTAAATTGTTCTTGACAGGTATTTTCTAACGGAGATGTGACAGCTAATAGAAAGTGTAAAATGTAGTAAAACTTATACCCACTTTCACTGCTTAAGAAGAGTGTATTTGTGAAAACAGTTTTGTATGTGTGGTTTTCTATAAAGAACTTCATCTAGACAGGTGTGTTTAACACCTCTAGCACACTTTCTGCGAAGACTAAAGACATAAATGCTTAAGATGATTTATACCTTTATATTCAGCTCAGTTCTTTTCACATTTTATAGGTTCCCTTATCTTTGGGGTTACAACATTATGAATTTGGATTTTATTTACTAAAAAGGCTTTAAAGTTCACAGAATATGTGTTTCAACCTTCAACTTAAAAATACATGTCTCTAAGACATAAATTGATGCTGTATCATACCCAGGGGTGGTAACTTTAGTTATCACCACTAGGACAACAGTGAAAGGCCAAAGATTGCTGGGTTTTTTAAGATGATAAATTAAGGGTTTCACTTACCTAGACAGAATAATCACAACAGAAAGAAATTCATTAAAGCACTTGACATTTGTTTCATTACAGAACTGTAAAAATAGGTTGGGTTTTTTTAAGATATAAAAGAAATAAAATAGTAATTTCATTCACATAAAAAATAATTTATCCAAATTTTAAATGTGCCCACGTGCTTGCTTCTGGCCAGTGGGCAGGTCAATTAGTCTAATAAGTTGGGCATGACAGAAGGAAATGTAGACTGAAAGGCAGGTTACACAGGAGAATCCAGTCTTTTTCACTTCTGAAAGGGACTTACAAAATGACACTCTCATCACTGATAAAATGAACCCAGATTACCAAACATATTCATTAGGAAACAAAACTGGTCTAATGGTATTAACATCTGAAAAAAAGAATTTTGACCAAATCTATTCAAGGTGGTTTTTATTTTAGTTCAAAAATATGTGAAACTAATTTTTATAAGCCAGATTTCTCAGTAGCAATCCTATTGTCATTTAGGGCTTAACAATTTTTTGTTGTGGGGGACTGTCCTAAGCATTGTAAAACGTTTAGCAGTGGTACGAATATCAAGAGGTTCATGAGCTTGTATACACACACACACACACACACACACACACACACACACACCAATTGTGATCACCAAAATGTAGACACTGCCAAATATGGGTAGGGAAAACAAGTCACCCCTGCTTCCAAGCTATGGTTATAAATAACTACATGCTTTCTTTAGTGCTGTGTGTCTCTATTAATACAAGTGATCATGCTGCTAATATTCATCATCAGGTTAATTCTAGAACAACTCTCAGATTCCTTCTTGGGCTCTGCGTATTCATTCTTCTGCCTGGCTCTAGTAGTTACATTCTGAAATCCAGGGTCATAAATGTAATCCTAGCCACTCATTTCCTGCAATACTGCTTTCTATCCACTAAGTGGCATCCCCTTTACTTTGGAAATCCATATCAATTTTTGTTTTTCCTTTTTGACACAGGGTCTGGCTACAAAGCCTTAAATCCACTCATATGCCAGGGTGACCTCAAATTTTCAATCCTACTTATCAATCCCACAAGCAGTGGGATATAGGCATGTACCACACCTGACAACAACAATAACTTTTTAAAGGACCTTTCATATTAAAGGACCAATTGCATTTCTAATGTTTAGTATTTTGGTGAAGCATCTTCATTCTAAAGTACATATTTTGTCAGGCATTTGAAAATTATACTGCACTGATCATACCATATTAATATATGATATGCAAGACAAAGTACATGTATTTTGAATTCAATTTTTTTTTTTGGTCAGTTATGGGGCTTGAACTCAGGGCCTGGGTGCTGTCCCTGAGCCGCCTTTGTGTTCAAGGCTAGTGTTCTACCACTTGAGCCACAGCACCACTTCTGAATTCAGTCTTTTCAATGTTCCAAATTATCAAGGAAAATTAACTGGAAAGCAACAATTGCCCTCAAAATATCCACCACATTTAGATTAGTACAGTGGGATACGGGCTCATGAGGATAAGCCAATTCAAGTATGTACTCATCTCTTTCATTTCAACATGTATATCATAATAGTGCCCTTTGCCGGGCGCTGGTGGCTCACGCCTGTAATCCTAGCTATTCAGGAGGCTGAGATCTGAAGATCACGGTTCAAAGCCAGTCCAGGCAGGAAAGTCCATGAGACTCTTATCTCCAGTAAACCACTAGAAAACCAGAAGTGGCCCTGTGGCTCAAGCGGTAGAGCGTTCACCTTGAGCTAAAGAGCACAGGGACAGTGCCCAATCCCAGAGTTCAAGCCCCACGACCTACCAAAAAAAAAAAAAAAAAAACAGTGCCCTTTGACATTGCATCTTGGAAAGCATGACTTTGCTTACTTATTGCCTACACTGAAAGCTAAAATCTTTTCCCATAATATCATTCATACCGGGCTGGGAAGATGGCTCAGTGAGAGTGCTTACCTTGCATGCCTGAGGCCCTGGGTTCGATTCCTCAGCACCACATAAGCAAAAAGTAAAAAGCCGGAAGTGGTGCTGTGACTCAAGTGGTAGAGCACTAGCCTTGAGCTGAAGAGCTGAGGGACAGAGCCCAGACCCAGAGTTCAGGCCCACGACCGGACCAAAAAAAATAAAATATTATTCATACCTCTAACCTTAACTATTACATTAAAATGCTGTCTATGTGCAACAAATACAAATTTACCTGATGAAAATCCCAATTTTGCTGGGCACTGGTGGTCCACTTTTGTCATCCCAGCTATTCAGGAAGCTGAACTCTGGAGTATCATGGTTCAAAGCCAGCCCAGGCAAAAAAGTCTGCTAGACTCCATCTCCAAAATAATCAGTGAAAGGCTAGACTGGAGGCATGGCTCAAGTCCAGTCAGATGTCAGCCAAGCAAGAAAGCCAAGCAAATGTGAGGCCCTGAATTCAAATCCTACTACAGGAATAAAAAAAAGTTACAAAGGAATATCTCTAACCTTCATTAGTTCAAGGACTGCCAAAAGTGTAGTCACTCACCAATGCCATATGAACTAGCTGTCTGTAGTTAACACATAGCTAGAATCTACCTCTGTAAGAGTAATAGATGCCATTATGTCCCAGAATATTAGGCTTTTGTAGATAACTGGACACTTTTTTGAAAAGTATCTTGGGTACAAGAAATAAGAATCATTCTATGAAGCTTAAGCAAAGTGTGGAATTTATTAAATCTTATGGAAGTGAAGAAAGAGTTAAACAGTGAAGGACCAAGAAGAGCAAGATGCTGAGTAGTCCTGGGACCAGCAGCAGGTGCATGTGGGTTTCTCAGTCAAAACACAAAATGCATGATGAGGACTCAAATATAGGGAGAAGAAATGCAATTTCAGGTTGATGCTGACTCATATCAATTACAGAAGGAAATTATTTTGACATAAGCTGTCTTCACTGACAACTCACAAATAAACATGTACTCAGTAGCTTGAGCCCAAAG